CGCAGGGGTGTGGACGGCGCGCCCGGACGAGCGGCGGCGGGGGGGGGGGGGGGGGGAACGGGGCGGGGCGAGCGCGCGGCCGCCGAGGGGTCGCGGCCCAGGCCGCCGCGAAGCCGACCCCCCGGGGGCCTGGACCTGAGCCCGCAGCTGCCCTATCCCAGGGCAGATCTAGACTCTGCTCCCCTCCGAGGCCCCCTCACCCCCACGCTGGGCCCCTGTTCAACTTGAGTTTGAAGTTTTTAGGTAATAGCACATTAAAAAAGAAAAGAGGTACCAAGTTGTCAGACATCTTGGCAAAGATGTGGGCAAGCGCATCTATGGTGAGAAGAAAAGGTCAAGAAATAGCCGGCTGATGCCCATCTGAGCGAATTATCGCATTTGTATAAATATGGATTCATTTATAGTCACATTCATGCGCGTACAGTTATCCATTTTCAAATGAATGTATCTAATATGAAAAGGTATGTAAATTATACAAAGGAAGACACAGGTTTCTGTGCATAGACATACACATGTGAAGCGGACGTCTTGTGTGTGTGTGTGTCCGTGTGAGGGGACAATGGAGGTTGATGGAAGTTCTTTTTATAGAAGCAGTCACTTGGCTACTTGGCGCATTTCTCTGGCCTCCCACCCTCCCCGCCACCCCCAGAGACAGGTAACAAGACAATTCCGGTTTGAGACCTAAGGATTTTCCGCTTGGCCCTCTCCACCAGGTCTCCAAAAGCAAGACTCTGGCAGTGGCCAAGCCACTTTTCTTCCTCAGCTGGCCCATTCCCCAAGCTGCTGAGCCGGGATTCTTTCTGAACTCTTTCCACTCCTCCCTGAATTTCAGGAGCCTTCAGGCATTCCACCACTGGGGTTCCCACATGACCCCGCAAAGCTATGGACAGAACATTTTTGTCAAAGACCGTATCGGTAATACCAGGTTCTGAACCAGATCTTTCAAGTTTGCAACGCAACGGCAGAAAAAAACCAGAAGCAGGGCCTTTAATAACCTATTATTCATGTGTATTAGCTTTTCAGTTGGGGAGCTAAAATAACTCTAGGTTCCACTCACCTAAATCGGATTAGCAACCCACAGAGGGAAATTAGGCCCTGGCTGTTTCTAGAGCTGTAAAGGTCAAATAAGGTATTTTGAAGGGAGACCGTCTACTAAGAAAATTAAAGGAGAGGAAGGGAAGGAAAGATTCAGTCCTCTGCAATCTGCTACTATATTCCTTTTTTTCTTTTTAAGTGTTACAGAAATTGTCACTCTGAATCATGAGACACCAATAAGGAGGTAATAAAACAGTAAGTCGAAAGTGCTGATCGCTTCTGAAACCATTTCCTTCCCTATCAAGTTTAATTGAGAAGTTAACAATTGCTTCTGTCATCGGTGAGGTGTAAGAAGCAAAGCAAAAACCCAAACCTATATGAGATTTAAATCAGAATGTTGCCTTTAATGAGGAAGAGAAAGCTGACAGCTGTTGGACCCACCCCAAGAAAAGAGGAAAATGAAACCTCGGGTGATGACATCAACAAAGCCTTGCAGCTTTGGGCCTTCTGAACTCCAGAAGTGGGAATTTGGCCATCTATGATACCCTTAGTGATCACGATTCTGAGGGAAAATGGACGCTTCTGCACAGTTACTCCACCTTGGTAGTGCCCGGAGGCCTCTTTTTTGGTAAGGCTCGCAACCCGAGAGGGGCTGCGGAAAGCCTTTCCCAGGAACTTTGCTCAAGTTTGGCCCAATTTCTCTTAAGAGCACTGCTGCTGTTTTTTAGAGATGGCTGCCCTCTTGTGGTGGAAATGAGTGCCAACGCATGGGAACCAGGCACAAGTTGAAAGACGTCTTCTCTGAAGACTTCGGAGGTGCTGATGTCCGCCGTCCACCCACTGAGACCGTGCGGCCACTTACTACTTCGAGGGGGTATCTCCATCTGTCTTCTCTGAAAATGCGCAGCACTCCTAGGCTTGCTTGCTCTTGCCAGTACAAAGTCTTGCTCACTCTCCGTCAGTTCAAAAAATGAGACTCTCTAAGTTGTTCATTTTTAGTGCATCTGTCAGCAAATGCGTAAGGGCTCAGAAGGGGCAAGGAGTACTGGGGCAAGACATGGTAAGAATCACAACTCCAAATTCTTCACAAGGGCTACACAACCTGGGCGAAAACAACTTACTGGCAAGGATGCTACATAAAGGAGGTTGCTGCTATTCTATTCTAGTCAGTTCTTGCCAGTTTTTCAAGAGATACCGGAAACCCTCATTTGACTGTGTGTGGACATGACCTGGGATGAAATTAAGTACTTAAAGAGTCATACTTTGGCAACTTTTCCTTTAGCAGTTCTGCCCAGATAATGTTTAATTTTATTGCATCCTGCAGCTATTAGCATTCAGCATTGTCCCTACAGGGCTGACCATTATGCAACATGAAAATAATGATCCTCGTGTATTGTAAAGGTCACAGCAGGTGTGACATGATCCATCGACCTTGTAATTGTCATTCCATTGAAACCTGTGGCAACTCCCCTGAGAAACCTCTTAGCCTGTGTATCATTTGGTACTGGTGTGACACCCAGCCCTGGCCCTGCTTACTCCTTGTTGAGATTCTTTCCTAGGAACCAGAAGCCACAGCCAAGAGTAGCATTTGCTCTACCAAGGGCTTACCTATTCAAGTTTGATTAGACACAGTAGGAATGATGGGTGGAGTGATCTGTATGCCAAACTAGGCCAGGTTGGCCAAGACACATTGTTTTAGACAGCCATCAAATCTTATTTAATTGCCATATAGCAATATACTTGCATATGTGACCAATGATGTTAAAATGTTTTGCTTTTGTATTAGGGTTGTGAAGAGGGAGGGTTTGGAGGAAGTGTGGGGAAGAGGGAAATGATGTACTTATAATCTCAGAAAATAAAAGAAGTATTTTTTTAAAGGAGTCAACCACAGTATTGCTGTTTTTACAGGTTAGCTATGAAGTGACGGTTCTAGCCCAGAGCTTCTGCATTGAAGTCCTCTGTAGTGTATGTGGTCAGAGGTGTAGTTTGGGGGATGTGACTGGATGATAAGGGCTTTGACTTTGTAAGTGGATTGATTCATCATCCATCGACAAGTCCCATTTTGGATAGCTTTATTGGGATATGACGTAAGTGTTAGGGAGTGGGGAATGGTTGAAGGAAGTAGTCACTGGAGATAGGCTTTCAAAGTTGCTTCCTGGCTTCCTGCCTGTTGCCCCTTCCTGTTTTTTTTTTTTTTCTTCCTGTTGCCCCTTCCTGGGTTCCTTCCTGTTGCTCTCCATGCTTTCTGGCCACCATGAAGTAAGAGGCCTTGTCTTCTATGTTTCTTTCCCATTATGCTATTCTTCATTTCAGGTCCAGAAAAAAATGGAGCCATCAACAATAGACTGAAATTTCTGAGAACATGAGCCAAAGTAAATATTTCCTCTTTCCAAACTGTTTCAGGCATGTGTTTCAACACTAAAAGCAAAAGCAAAAACAAAACAACAGACTGACTAATACAATCCAGTCCATAAATCTTTACTGAGCATCTGTGAACCCCATGACATCACGCTACTTGGATCTGATGCATAAAAGACACATAATCTCTGCATATCATTTATTTAGCAGCCAGTGGAAGGAGTATGCTATGTTCAGAGGTAAATAAATATAAAATATAAGACATATGATGCAGGCACTTTAAGAGAGCAAACAGTTGCTGAGGGGCAAAAGGAAAGCAGTGTG